CTGGGCACACGCGGGGGAGAGAGGACAACAGATAGAGACACACAGCCACAGCAACAGCAACAAACACAGCGACGACGACCATCACCATCGCGTTGGAAGAGGAGGGAGGAGCGTCATCGAAAGCCGTGAAGGAGGAAGGGGGAGGAAGGAGGGGGAGGACGAGGAGGAGGAAAGAGAGGGAGGACGAAGAGGAGGAAGGAGGGGGAGGGAAAAGGAGGAGGTAGGAGGGGGCGGACGGGGATGAGGAAGGAGGGGGAGGACGAGGAGGAAGGAGGAGGGAGGAGGGGAGAAGAGGAAAGACGAGGAGGGAGAAAAAGGGAGAGAACAGGAAGAAGGAAGTAGAGAGAGGACGAAGAGGAATAAGAAGGGTAAGGTCGTGAAGAAGGAGTGGAGGAGACAGGGAGAAGCAGGGAGGGGAGAAGAGCAAAAGAAAGAGAGGGGCGGGAGGTGACAAAAGGGGAAGTAGGGTGAGCGGCAGCTGTCAAGGATGAGGGCAAAGACAGGAAGCCGATGAGGAAGGAGAGGGGAAAGAAAAGGAGGAAGTGGAGTGGTGGTGAAGCAGGAAAGAAGTAGAGGGAAGAGGGATGTATGTGTGGGAGAGAAGGAAATAATTAGTGGGAATGACAAAAGGAAGAAAAAGAAGGGAAATAAGAGGTAAGAAAAAAAAATAGGACAAGAAGAAAGGGGATAGGAATGGGATGTGAAAGGATGGAAGGAAAGGACCGGAGACGAGAATTCTCTCTCTCTCCTTTTCTCTGTCAAGGGGAGGGGGGTGAATGGAGGAGAGGAGGGGAGAGGAAGGGGGAGGGGAGGTGGGAGAAAGGGGGTTGGGAAGGGGGTGTGAAAAGGCAAGGATCGGTGCTGTTAGCGAACTGGAGTAAGGAGAATGTTAGTAAAGTGAACATTAAAGACATACATTGACATACATTGGACAATGGCGATGGTGTGCGGCTTAAAAAAAGGTCATGCTTATTTACATATGTTGACTTTGGCTCATAGATATCCTTCGCAACATGCATGAGCGCGGTGTCCTGCAACCTGTCATGCATTGCAATACAGGACTTGGGTCGTGGGTGAACGTGGGTGAGAGATCATGTGATTGGAGAGATAAAAGGTGTATATTAGAGGAATAAAAATGTGAATGAATGAGGTTTTGTGTCCTTGAATGAATAAAAGGCGGAGAATAAGTGGAAGGTTGTAAGAGACCAGATTATCTATATGATTCTCTCAGCAAGATAAGAGATAATTGGCAGTGTCTGCATCGCACTTCAATTACCTCTGTATGTAGCGCTATTCATCACACAATAATCCGTAGGCTTTTTTACAACTTGCTAAAATGTAGCTATGTGAATTACAGCTACTAAAATCGCCTACAAGGATTCTCGAACCAGGAGCAAAAAAGTTTAAAATATATATGTAAAAAAAAAACAAAACCAAATAAACCGTGGAAAAAGTAAAACTCTTTGATAACGGCTAAATTAAAAGAGATATGTAGTTATCTCATCAAATCAACTATAAATGAGCAATCAAGAACGTTGATAGAACTTCACTACCTACGAGCTAAAGGGGCTCTAAAGGCCTAAGTGATCAAAATTCACCTTTTCTTCTACAATTGTCGGCTTTTCGTCGGTGGGTTGAAGAGGAATCTCCCCCTGACCCTACGAATCAGACAAGAAGACATCAGGTCATCAGGTCACGGCTTCTGTGCACTCTGTTACACTTATTACATTGTCACTGATTTCTCCAGCGAGAAACCACAATCATCATTCTATACAATGGTTTACTTTTTTATCTTTGTTTTTTTTTTTCGTTGTCTTCAAATCGAAATGTGCTACAGCATGCAGGGTTATTCAAAGAATGGTTCAATTATATTTTTGTTTTTGTTTTTTTGTTTTTTAAGTGTTATGAATATTGGAAAAGTGTGTTAAGATAGAGAAAGAAATTTATGATAATAGCTGTAAAAATAATCAAAAGTGGTGCATTATCTTTACACAACCGTCATATTCACCTCTTGACTAGGCTGAGGAGGCTCACTGACCACAGTTTCCTGAGGTTTGTCTCCAGTGGAAGGCTGTGGGAGTATGCGGGAGTCAGTTAACGATTGCGCTACACCGCTACACCCTCCCTCAGAAGGCACACACGTTTCGAATTTCAGAGAAGAAGAAGAGAGGAAACTGGTGGCTTTAAATAAAAATAGTAGAGAGAGAGAAGAGGGTAATGAAGATATGACACATATATGCAGAACTGAGATTCTCACATGGTGCACAGAACTGAGAAAGATATATTGAACATACTACTGACCGAACAGAAGATGTGGATAGAATGGAGAAAAAGATATTTGGCAAACAATTCCTTGCCAGGTGCTATGAACTGAAAGTTTGCATAATAACAGAGATGCTAGAAATGTAAGATAAAAAGTGAAAAGGAAAAGAAAAGTGAAAATTTCCAAAGCCAGGCACGGTAAACAACTAGCCTGGGTGCCATGAATACAAGGCTAGAAATACCTATTTCCGATTACTGGTTCTGAGCAGTGAGCAAGAAAAGGGTCTTACGCTTGGGGAGTTGCCAGGACTTCGGTCACGTCTGGGAGGCGAGGGACAAGGGAGTGGAGTGGGAAATAACTAAGGACAGAGAGAGAGCGGGGGAGGTTGTGCTGCTCTCTCTTGAAACTTCACGGATCTCGCCCCGGAGACCAAGAACCTCGGCTTGGCTTGGGTTCAGAGGGCTCTCAAACAGGCTGGAGGACTCTATGGGGTCGCGTGAGTCTAACATCTAGGCGAAGTGTATCATAAGCATCGTGTGGGGCATTTACGGTAAGATAAGGATGTCTAGCCTAAGAGAGAACGTAAGGTTCCTGCTCAGTTCTTTCTCAAAGAGCTAAGATGTCTCAGGCAAGGTAGCATGGGCTCTACGCTCGGACGTTTCCGGGGTGGCATATGTAGGCTTCCTTCTCCGACAATTTCCTTGAATCCGTAGGCATTATGCAAACATGGCAAATTGACATGCCTAGGCAGCAGAAATGACAGAATGGAAGGCATTGCAAGGACATTTTGACTGCAGTTCATCTAATCAAATTGATGAAAACACAATACCTGTTACTGCACTCTTAAAATAAGCGGGCAAGGAACATGAAAAAAGGTGATGCGGATCGTGGCAGCCATTCATATGATGTCCTTTGCGCGGGGAAAGGCAACAAGCAGCCAACTAACATCAACATTAAGTCATGGACTCGGCTAGCGCGACATTGAGCCTAGAGAAGGTAGTAAATTGTCGCACTGGGTTTACGTGGCCAGCCAAAGAGGGCTATGGCCAGCATCACCTCCAGAGCGGCCGGTCCACCTGCCTCTGCTCTCGGCTCCCCTTCCCCGGCCACCTCGGGGATGGTGGCCAGCGCCCCCGCCGCGTCGTGTGCCAGCTGCGGCGCCGCGCCCTGGCCTGCGGGTGTGGCTGTGGGGCGCGCGGCCGAGGCGTCCGCGTATGTTTGGGTGGAATCAGGTGTGGATGTGGAGGGCGGGGCGGCAGCGGCGGCCGGGGGGAGGGTCGTCGAGGAGGCGCTCACGGCGACCTCCGAGGCGGAGGAGGCGGGCGGCGGAGGCGCAGCCACCTCGCCGGCCGAGTCGCCCACGCTTGCCTGTGCTTGCGCTGCCTGGCCGGGCGGAACCTGTAGCGGTCACGTGGGAGAGCAGGAGATGAGGACGCAAGAAAATGGGAAAGAAGGAAGAGAGAACTCATTAGAAGGCACTCGACATATATGGAGAAGTGTATCAACAGCAGACTATCAGAAAGACACACGCACACACACACACACTGGCACGCAAGTTCGCACGCAAAACAAAGATACAAACACATACACTTTCGAGCGAAAAAAAAACATGTGTAATATGTATATATATATATATGCATGTATGTTTGTATGTATATTTGTATGTATGTATGTAGTATGTATGTATGTATGTAGTATGTATGTATGTATGTATGTATGTATGTTTGTATGTATATATGTATGTATGTATGATGTATGTATGTATGATGTATGTATGTATGATGTATGTATGTATGTTTGTATGTATATATGTATATATGTACACACACACACACACCACACACACACACACGCACACACACACACACTGGCACGCAAGTTCGCACGCAAAACAAAGATACAAACACATACACTTTCGAGCGAAAAAAAAACATGTGTAATATGTATATATATATATAGAATATATGTATATATGTATGTATATATATATATAGATAGATATATATATAGATAGATATATATAAGAAAGTGTTTGTACAATGAATGTGCTAAAAGTTCTGCCATACATGTGTGTATTTATAAATATACATTTATAACATATATATATATATATATATATATATATATATATATATATATATATATATATATATATATATACATTTATAAATACATACACTTCACACACTACAAACACAAACACACACACACACACGCACACACACACACACACACACACACACACACACACACACACACACACATACACACACACACACACAATCACATACATACAAAAATACATACATACGTACATACATACATATATACATATTATATGTATATGTATATATATACATATATATATATATATATATATATATATATATATATATATATATATATATATATATATATATATGTATATAATATATGTATATAATATATGTATATATATATATATATATATATATATATATATATATATATATATATATATATATATATATATATATATATAATATATGTATATATATATATATATAGAATATATGTATATATATATATAGAATATATGTATGTATATATATATATATATATATATATATATATATATATATATATATATATATATATATATATATAATATATATATATATATATATATATATATATATATATATATATATATATATATATATAGATATAGATATAGATATAGATATATATATATATA